TCAAATAATAAAATTAGTAATAATGGCTTTAATATTATTCATTGAATTTTAAATAATCTCTGATTAGGATTATCCTTGTGATACTATTGAAAAAAACGTAAAACTGAATAAATATTATAAGTATTATGAGTTTGAATTAAAAGAATATAGGTATTATTTTACCGCTTATATAAAATTTATTGTCTAATCAGAAAATAATATAAATCACATGATATAATTAAATCACGTGATAGAGATCGCCATGGCGATGGGTCGCTAAATATCAGAGTCCTTTATTTATTATAGATGTAATCAACTAAAAATTTTAAAAATAAAAACAAATAAAAATAAGAAAGTTTAAATACTTCATCTAATTCAAATTCTGATAATAATAAAATTAATATTATAAAAAAAGTAATAAATAAATTTAAATTTTATATATTATTATTCAAATTATTTATTCTAATATATATTCTTAAATTTAAATATTAAAGCAACCAACTTCTAAAAAAGTACTTAAAGCTGATTTTAATACATTATTTGAATTAAAACAAGGTCAAAATTAAATATATTTCTTAAGAAGAAATTAATTTATTATGAGAAGGTTTATTTAAATATAGTAAAAACTTAAAACAAGATATACTTAAAAAAGAAATTCAAATAGCTTTATATGATTTAAAAAAATTATGTATTATAAAACAATTTGATAATATTTTATTAAATATCAGGAAATTAAAGTTTTTTAAATGGCTTGATATTTTAGAACAAATAAATCAAAATGATAATTTATAAGTAAATTTAATTAATAACTTAATTTTTTTTATAATATAAATAAATTAATTAATATTTTAGATTGGTTCTTCAAAATTTACATTAAATAATAAAACTAAATCAACATCTGATAATAAAATTCAATTAATATTTGATAAATAAAGAAAATTTATTATCTAATAATAAAAATAATTTTATCATCTGATAATGAATTTAATAATAAATTTTCTTCTCCTCATAATCAAATACGTAATAATGTAATAATCAATATAGAAAAAATTTGAAAAATGTAATGAAAAAAGAATATTAAAAAAAGAGATCATATAAAATTAATGATATTGTTAATTTAAAAATTTCATAAGTAAATAAAGCAAAATTAAGACATAATTATTTACCATGTAAGGTTTTAAAGATTAAACCTAAAGACTTTTATGAATTAGAATATTCTAAAGGAAAATTAAATATAAATAATCAAGGAAAAAATTTAGAACTTACTAAATTAGAATTAATGATTAAATTAACAGATATATCAAATAAAACAGTAATTGTTACAAAAGTAGTTAGATTATAAAATAATATTATAAATAAGAAGTTAATTAAATGTAAATGTCCTAATACTAATTGTAATATAATGAAATGTTCTTGTAAAAAAGAAAATTTAGCTTGTAATGACAAATGTCATCCTGGTAAAGAATGTCAAAATCCTAAAATTTATTCTTTATAATAGTAAAAAGAAAATGAATAATAATTAAATTTCAAAAATAGTTTTTATATTTTAATTAAATATTAAATAAATAAAATTACTTTCTAGCAAATTTGCATAAAATATTATTTTAATTATTTAGTAAATTTAATAATGATTTTAATTTATAAAGTAAATAATATTATATAAATAATTATAGTAAATAATTAAATGTTTTAAAAATAAATTTCATTATTTTTAATTTAAATTTAAATTTATTAGGTATAAAATATTTATTTTTTAAATTTATATAACTAAAAAAATAACATTTGATTTTATAATTTTAAAATTTAAATTATATAAAGATTAAAGTTAACTTAAAATATCACATTTTATAAATTTAGATAATAGCCAATTTATCCTATTTTAAATTGAGATATTAATCAACTTGTATATTAATTTTCAGTTTCAAATTTGCTTCAATTTTAAATTGGGATAATAATCAACTTCAATTTATCTCAATTTAAAATTAAACAATAGACAACTTGAGGCATCACGTTCCTAGTTTCTAATTTGCTTCAATTTAAAATTGGGATAATAGCCAACTTGGGGTACTGTATTCCCAGTTTTCAATTTGCCTCAATTTAAATTAGACTAATAGTTAACTTAAGGCACCTCATGTCTCAATTTCCAATTTATTCCAATTATAAATTTAACTTAGTGTACCACATGTTCCAGTTTCCAATTTGTTTCAATTTTAAATTAAGGCAATAGTCAACTTAGATCACTGCATGTCTCAATTTTCAATTTGCCCTAATTTTAAATTGGGGTAGCAAAATCGCATTGCTCAAATTTGAAATTTTAAATTGGATTGCCCAAAATTGAAATTTGTATTTAGGGCAGATCATTAACTTGGAATATAACAAGTATACCTTATCTTCAAATAGGATTAATGTATGATCAGCTCACATGTAATCAATCCTAAATTTACACGTGATCAACTCTACACAATAAGAAGCTAAAAAGTGATCTTCCTAGAAGAAAAGATTATTTCTGTACTGCTTTCTAGTACTACTTTCTGTATAATGGATTTAGAAAGATTTGCAGAATTTGTTCTTAAGAACCAACATCTCCCTTTGAAGAAAATGGAAAAGAAATACCAAGAATTACAAGGTAAGTAAGCAACGCACATTGGTAGTTAGAAGGTTATTATTACAACACGTGTTGGGCATAGGGTAAAACATGGCAAATGTCAAAGTTTACTCTCCATTTCGTTATTCATCGTTTATGTTTTCATCTACTTGATATACTGTTGTATTTAACTAACTTTAACTAACTTGTGGTGCTTTTTCCCTTCTGTGTTCTTAATACATTCCATTGACAGAATTTCTCAATATTTCTTTTTTAACTTACATATTACGTTTACTGTTCGCAATATTAACATCAATTTTTATCAACTGTTTCTAGATGATAACTCAGATGACCTAACAAATATGATTTACCAACAGCAAATGTGAATTATCAGGGCTGCTTTTAAGGTCGACTATGATGATCCAAGAGGTCATGTTAAACGTCTGCTAGATTTCTATAGTACTTGGATGCGTCGCTAGAGGAGATCAGAATATTATGCATCATACTCAGCCATTATTCAGTCAAGTAGAACTGGCAAGTTTCGATTGATTATGGAACTCGCAAAAAAGCGCTTTGTAATATATTGCTGTCTTCGGGAAATCAGTAGCACTGGTTACCCTCCAAGGTCAAGGATCACTGATTTGCTTCTGCCAACGGCAATTGTCAGAAAACCTAATAGGAAGTCGAGTGAAACATTATATTTATCATATTTGGTATTTGCAGTTAAAATTTTTAATCAAACAGTTTCAACAAAAAACTTGACGAAAAGTGAATGGTTCAATTATCATACATTACAGACAGACAATAATTTTTGGGAGAAAGTAGGTAGTAATATGAGAGAAATTCAAGTCAAATTATCCATTATGACAGCCGTGAGAGGATGCGGGAAGCTCTCAATAACGCAGAGTCTTTATTTGATCACTGCTTCAACATTCAGTTAATATTTGTTTTCAATGAAGTCCGTTCCTTGCTGCTGACTGAGACGAGAGTTGACTGCTTCATTTCTCTTTGACATGCTCTCCAATATTTACTAGAATATGCAGAATCATATGGAAAGACATTTACGCTTTTGTTGGATACTACATCAATAATTGCTAACTTTATAACTGAAGCTTTAAATGACCTGTCTAACCGTGTTTTACGCGGAGCCTTGAATTAATGCTGCTATTTTATTTAATGGATACCATTGATGATACATGGACTGCATTCAATCCACCTGCGACTGTAATGGAAATGCGTGATCCAATTCACTTGACATTCTTAGGTCAGCCACTGTTTCATTCATATATTTAGGCTTTAAATTCTAAAGCTATACATCAGGATATACTGACCATTCGGAACCTTGCTTGCTTTAAACTTGTATGCTCAACAGAATTTTCTAGCAAGTTATCAATGATTGAAGCGCTCAGTGTACTCTCAGTCTGACTTTATCTTGACATTGTTCTAACCAATTACATAGCATCTGAAATGGTTGGTAGTTATCTGCACCTATGTATATTTATTAGCAAGTCACGTCGTTATCTGTTCACAATATCACCCTCAGAACTAATTTTGGTAGATGTGGCAGCAGAACTCATGTTTCAACCTGGTCACCTGGTCAAGTTTATTGATAGACTCTTTGATGCCACACGTTGTGGGGTGGTTGATGGTAGTTACCGAGATGAGCTTGTTGCAAGATTGCTTCTCCTTCTGGCAGCTGATGTTGCAAGTATGAATAAAAATAAGAGTGGTCTGTTGTATAAGTCACTCAATTGGACGGATCCAATCAATGCATAATTTTTTCTTGAAGTACTTTTAGGAAAAAAGCTATTGGATTAATTTCAACAGTGGAAGACGAAGAATGCTCAAAGTTTTTGAGTGGAACTATTTTTTTTACACATTTTATTCCTATGTTTTATTCACCAAGAAGACAATATCTTCTCTATACTATGACATATAGTGCTGCAATCATTTGTAAACGAAATAATGCTAGAGTAGATTTAAGTACAGGTAAAATTTTTTAGATACAACTTTGAAGGCAAAAAAGAGTTTGATAAATCCAGAGAAAAGATGTATACTTAGTTCATTAACTATATATTGTATCTTTATATATTACATATTCAAGGGATTCAAGATAAATACTTGAGAAAGCTTGCTGAAGGGTCTTATAAACTTAATCCATCTTTTATCTCATTTATCCTTGTACAAGTGAAAAATTATCAAGATTCATATGATTCATATACAAAAATTGCTTGAGAAAGAATCCAGCCACAAGTGTGTAAGCTTCTTGATAAACCTGCTAACTTTCCATTTATATCACTATATATGCAATTAGGTGGTAAAGTAATATATGTACAAGAGCTTCCTGAAATTTAGCAACAGTTTATAAAATCTAAAGATAGACATTTGAAACTAAAATTAAATCCATATATATTAGATTCTATTAAAAAGTATCAAATAGGCTTGGCAACTTGTGGAGTAAATAAGGAAGTATTTTCTTGTCTTGCTTCTTCTCATATAACAAAAAATGATGCAGAAGTTAAAAATCTTGTTGAGTTGATATAAGAACTTCTTGTGTCATAACCTGATCCTGCTGCTATATATGGAAACATAAATTCTAATGCAAATCAAGCTGCTCATTCTTCATGGGTTGGGGTATATAATAGTAAGTTGTAGAATGATACATCAGTATGGACAAAATGATATAAAAATAGTTTAAATATAATAAAGTAATAATATCAATATAATAATTATAAAGCATGTGTAACTAATGTAAACCTGTTTATTTTTTATTTAATATTTTAATTTAATATTACAATTGTTTAAAGTATTTGATAATTATATTTGATTAAAAGATTTCAGCATATAGCTAACTTAGTATTTACAAAAAATGTATAATTTACATACATTTATTTAATTTAAAATAAAATATTAAATATTAAAATTTATATATAGGATTACTTGTATATAAAAAAATAGTTAATATTGTAATTCAACTGAATAAAAAGCAATGCATTTTTGGAAATAAGTTGCAATTATAGTTATTCAAAAGATTTTAAGAAAAAAGTTTGTCAAGTTATGTAAGGCATTTTAAATTCTTTTTAGATTAAAATAAAATATATTTAATGGAGTAGAGCAAAAATGGGGGTTCTGGAATCAAAATCCGCAAAAAGAGTCTTAATCTTATTTTCAAAGCCTTCTAGCTATAAGAATCTACTATGGAATTTTAAACTCTAGCCCAAATTTAAGCTTTTTCTGCTATCTAAATATTTAGTATCAAATTAGTATTAATTTACCCTGTCAGATATCAAGAATAAATCCATCTCTTATAGCCTTTCTAGCCCAATTTTAATCCCAAATAATATATCAAAAAAAATATACCATTCTGTTTGAGTTCAAGGTGATATGAGATTGGCAAGAACCAAAGGTTCGAAGTTAAGCTCGTGGAGTCTCTGCAAACCTTCTATGTATAATATTATTTATGATATTCTAAAATTAATTTTAAAAAGGATTCATTATCATCTAGCATGATTAAATTTTGGTATCTACATCGAATGGGTATCAAAATTTATGTGTATTCACATTCATTTTAAAAGCTCTAGACTATATTCTAGTATATCATTAATTTCTTAATATACAGGAAACTATTCTAAAGACGATTCATTCTCAAGAAGCTCAAGGACAAAAAATGATATCAGGATACCAAAAAATTCGAATATGATACCAAAAAAAATGATATCAGAATACCAAAAAAATTCGAATATTGTATCAAAATTTATGATATACAGGAAACAATTTTAGAGCCATTTACTTTACACAACTCAAGGTCAAAAAAAAGTCGTACCTCTGATAAGTCTAACCTCAGAGATACTAAAATTTTGAGTGGGATATCAAAATTCTGAAGGAAGTACTAAAATTTTAATAGACTAATTTTCATTCATTAGAGCCTTAAACCGCAATCTCTGATAGTACTGGGAGACGTAAAACCCTTTTATATAAATAGGATATAGACTAGAATATGATCTAGTAAGCTTAACTTGTGTTTTAAATTGATATGATTCATCCAATTTATGATTCTGAATTTTCAGAACTCTAAGTCTAACACATTTCTTATAAGAAGTAAGTTGCTTATCAGCTAACTTTTGAACATATTTCCAATGAATAGAACACCCTTCTTCACACATACAAGATCTTCCATAAATTTCACCAAAATAGTTGATAAATGGGCAAGTATATTCACCATATATAATATAAATCTTTTTTTTCTTATACAGAATTAATTATTTAAATAAAACAATTTTATAAGTAATATATAGTAATATATATATATATAATGAGCAATCAAAATTAAACTACCCAAGAAGTTTTACCTGAAGTTAAGCTCATCCCTAGCAGGTCAAGCAAGTATTAATAAATGTAGTTAAAGCAGGGCTCTATTATAGAAAACCCAAAGACAGAAAATTCATGCAAAGCTATAAAGAAAGAGTTCAGAAATTGCGTTAGTCAGAAGATCCTGAACAATATGTAGTAGAATCAGCCCTAACAATATTTCTTAATAAGTGCAAATATCATCAAATTATGGATGATTACAAATCTTAGTATGGAAGAGATCCAGAGATTCTTAATACCATCATAGATTTATATAAGTTATATTATAAATTAGCTAAAGATTATTTTATTAAGAAAGAAGATATCGATAATAAAGCAGAAGACTTCTTATCATCAATTTGATAAGACCTATTAGGAAAGCAACTCAGTATCAGGAATAACCATCAATTCCTCTCTTATAAAGGATCTTTTAGGCCATTGCTCTCATCATCTATTAGTCTCATAGGAGGACTTTCACGTGATTGGCCGATCATATTTAATTGAATTTATACAGTTTAAAGTACTTTTTTAATTTATGATATTATCATTAGTGTATCACAAAAAAAATTTCATTTTCAGTTTTAAAAGTCCGTCAAGATTCGCTGTGTAAAATAATCAAAAAATAATTAGAATCTTTGAAGTACTTTACTTAGAAGGCAATATCACTATCAAATGCTATTACCGGACCTTGTGTAATTACTATATGCTAGAAAAAATTGACTCAATGGAAAAGAGTAACTGAGAATGTTCTGACTAAAGGTCAAGCCAGTAAAATTTTACCGGATTATGTTTAAGAAGGCGATACAATTTGTTTAAATTGTTATAATAGAATTATTACAAATAACTCTCTTAAATTTCAGCAACATGCTAAAGAATATGCCGAAACTAATATAAAATGACGTAAGCTTGAAACTGAATTTAACTCTATTTTATCTTTTTCTAAAGTAATAGAAATTATAACAAATATCCTACATACTCGTAAAAATAAAGAAAAGGAATCAACTTTATATTCATTTGACGAATTTTAAACAGTTATGAAAGCAAAAGATGCAAGATTAAACTATTTTTTTGATGAATTGTATCTTTCATCTAATCCATCTTCAAAAAATAAGGATTCACAGGCATGAGCAAAGAAACAGCTTCTATTTATATGCTATTTTCTTTGTGGAATTTGAAATAAGTTTGTCAATAATACAAAGAAGGATTTGATAATATATTTGGATTCTACTGGTGTTTCTAATAATTCTATTAATACTCTTGCAAATTTAGGTATAATTACAACATCTCGTATAGTTATACAATGTAAAACTGCTGCATTCGAAGAACATGACGAAACTGTTAATTCTGCACTTGCTGAACATATAAATAGAGCGATGATATTAAACATTAATGATTACCATAGCATTCATACAAAACGAATGTCAAATACAACTACTACATCTACTGCGACATTTGACAACAATTCTAATGAATCCAATTACTATTCAAAATGCAATTTTAAAATCAAATATACATAATCCATACTGGTTAATACTAAATTGATCAAAATGAATTTAGAAAATAAATTTATGATACTTTATAGATTATCACATAATCAACATTAGGGATTTTGTGAAGTTGATGATGATACAAAATTAGAGGAGTTAACAGTGCATAGTTATAATATTAGATTGAAAAAAAAACGTATTATTCGTTCTATGAAGGATGTTATTCTTGTAGATTTACAGGAAAATAATCTATATTCTTTAAATGTATATATTAAGGCAATTGATACTGTTACAAATATTCTATCTATGAAACAATACATTCAAAAAGGACAGGTTATTCCCATTGTTGCTGATCAAATTTATCTTAGAACTGCTATTTCTCGTTATCTACTTTATAATGATTCTTCAAATATTACCAATTCAATTTTATCCTTTATTCCTATTATAGGTCCTTTATATATTTAATTAAATAGCCAAGAATTAGTATTCCTTCAATATTAGCCTTTTTTTTTTAGTCATGTATAAGAATATATTTGGAGAACGAAGGCCTCTTGCACAAAAACCTAAACTATGGCATATTAATCTACTTTTAAAGATTTCTCATAATACTTGGCAGGAAATTTCTAAAGTAGTTGAAGAAAAATTTGGATTCTTATGCAAAGATGCTGAATACCTCACATTGAAGGATCTTTTTGATAATATAATTCCTTTGGTCTTAGATGTTTATGCTATTTTTTTCAGTCTGGCGATTTTAATGCTTATTTGGAATCTTATTTTCAGGTTTGGATAATATTTCTTAGATTTCAATGCAAAAATTATAATAAAGCATCACTAATGTTTTTGTCTGATATTTTTTATTGGGAGTCAAATAATCATCCAATCCTAGAGGTTATTAAGGCTGAACTTCTAAAATTTTCAGATACAACTGTTGAGATTTTTCATAGTTTCTTGCGTAGAGGTATACAGAAATATACAGAAGTGCAACAGATTATCAAATATAGGTGTTATATTAACCAATTACGTCTAGATGATAATGGTTTCAGAGAGAACTTTACATACACATCAACATAGGCAGCATATGAATATTCTGCATGAGATATTACAATTTTAACAAAAAAGAGTGCATGCTTTTGTTACAATGTTTTTCAGATATTTATGTACGCTTTTTTAATGATAAAATATCTTTAATATTTCCATTACAGACTGTTGCTACGAATTTATCTTTAAAAAAGAAAAAGAAATCTAATAATGATATTGTAATTCTAGCCACAATGAAAATGCTGAAAGCAAAATTATATCATCTTCCTTTAAGTTTCAATACTTCGCATAAGCCAAATTCATTTTATTATTGTGATACTACTAATTGTTCTATTTCTTTATCTTTTCATACAGGTCTAATTGTAGTTTTATATTGCGGCCATATATATCATAAAGTTTGTTATGATAATAATGATTCAAGTGTTCATATTACCTCTCATTTTTACAAGATAGTGTTGATGAAAATGTCCAGTCCTTGCTAACACGATTGCAACAATTTGACGAAATAAAAGTTAAAAAGGATGATGATAATATTCTTTGTGATGACGACGATGAAAATGAACCTATAAGATGTATGATATTTACATTGGAAGAAGCATTGCAAAAATTTCAATTACAATAATATTTATAAATAATAAATAAGAATTTTGATTTTAGTTAATCAGTAATCCAGCTTTATTTAACTCAATAATTTTCTGATTTACATTAGTCTAATTAGTCTAAAAAATTAAAATTATACAAAATTGTTAATTATAAATATTATAAAAATAAATTGCTAAACTAAAAACTATTTTTATTTTAATTATTTTAATATCGAAACGAAATTAGATTCTTCGAAATGATCATCAAACAGCGCAGTTACGGTATATTATAGCACAGTTTAATTTTTTTCAGAGTTTATAAGTATATTAATTTTAAATTAATATCAAAAACTTTAATATAGCTTATATTTAATAATACATAAACTTTAAACTTAAGTTTAAAATTAAATTTTAACTTTTAAATATAGTTTATATAGTTTGTACAATTTAATATTATGTATAATAATATCACATGCCATATATAAATAATTACAATATCAACTATAAAATTCGTATAACCTTATCAGCCAATCACATGAAAGTCTTCTTATGAGGCTCAAGCTGAAAATGCCTTAATAAATCCATCCAAAGATTTATCAGAAAAGCTATTGGCTCACATTCAAAAAAGATTCAAAGAAGTCTCACTAGCACCAGTACTTATACAGTAGTCGATTAAATATTATTCTCAGCCTATCTTCGTATTTTTTATAAGAGAAATATCAGTCACTTTTTTCTTTCAGCTTAACGCGATCTCAGAAGGATTCGCTTCATATATTCCATAGCTTTTTCTCAACCACAATCTATATAATTGCAATTAGTAGTAAGATAAGTATAGAATATATTATTATCAGTGACATCAAGGAGCTCGCGATGATAGAAGCAGTTGCTGATAAAGATACCTCTTCTGTATCACCTACAGAAAATATTTGGAAAGGTAAAGTATTAAGAGCGGAAAGTTGTAATTCTTTTGGGACCTGTTCACTCTCATTTTCTTTTATATTATTTTTTTGAATTAAGGTCCTCTTTCACTCGATCCAATTCAAGTCTGAGAAAATCGATCTCTTTGGGATCAGATGAGCTTATTTGGGCTAATCTTTCTATCACTTCTCCCATTACATCCAAATCATGATATGTACACTCTAGATCTATATCCTCTAACTTACCTTCTAATTCACGTATTTTAGTTTTAAAAAAAAGAATTTGAACCTTATCAGTAGACGAAACTTCTGGGCCAAAGTTAGCTTTCTCTTAAGCGATTTAATTTTGGCAGTATATTTGGCTTCAAGCTCATTATTAGCTGTATTCAGCTAACTAAATTTATTGTTAAAACTTGAACAGATATGATTAAAATCCTTCACTCGCTCTAAATATATATTCTGCAGGTCTTTATAATTATTAGCAATATCAGAAGCAGTTTTAATGCTACTGCATAATGCTTTCTCAAGTTTTGATTCACAAATGCTACCAAGCCGATGACCTAGGGGATATATTTACTTAATGAACCCTCAACCACCCTTCCATTCTCGATATCTCTTAAGGTATGCATATTGGATATAATTTTTTCAGCCTAGTCATTAGTATATAAAAAATTATGAGCGAATTTTTGAGATCACACGATTCTGGAAATACTTTATTTTTTATAGATACTAGCATATTACTGATACTACAATATTACTGATACTACTGATATTATTATATTACTGATACTATTACTGATACTATTGATACTACAATATTACCGATATTAGCATAGTACTGATACTATCATATTACTGATACTAGCATAATATGAATACTAGCATAGTATTAATATTTTTATACATTTTTTTATTTATAGTGAAAAAAATCTCTAGTGATTAGTTACTAATATGATCACACCTCAGCTTAAAACACATATTAGTTTCAGGGCTAGTTACTTATTCTCCGCAGATTATAAAGACATTATGCAATATCGTGATATGAAGTCTAAACCTTTAGCTCAGCTAAGTAAAAAATATAATATATCAAATAGTCGCTTATATCAAATTTGAAGTGAACAAGAGTTTAATAGGATTCAATGGAATGATTTAGCAGTCGCTCTATATACGAATGCTATAGATAAGCAGAATGAGGAGCAGGTTCTATGTCGAGCTGAAAGAAATCTTTAAAATAAATATGATTCTGCCTTTATAGCACTGGAAAATGAAATATGTGATGCTGAAATTAGCAAATATACTGATTTAGTTTCTGAAGAAAGTGCAGGCAGTAAGGCAAAAAAGACCAAAGGAAAAAAGCAATCCTAAAGAGGCCAAGCAATGCCTAGAACAAAAAAAGAAATTATTTCGCTTACTGAATTCTCTGAAGATGTCTTGGATTTGTATAAGAGAACTGATAATACTTTAGAAAAATTAAAGCAAGAGGTTATCCTCTTATTTTCAAATAGTTATTCATCTTATTCAATCTGACTGTGTAAACTATTATAGTATTCTATGATTTCCAAATTTGATTGAATGCTAGAAAATAATGCCTTTTTAAGCTCTTTCATATGGACTGCCATATCTTCAGAATTTATATAATTTATGCATTTTTTTTTAAGTCCTTCTTACTAGTTAGACTAAAAGAATCAGTGGATACTTGGTCCTGCTTCTCTTTTAGCAGATCCTTGACTATTAGAGCCTTGCTAAAGGTTGGAATAACATATGCCTTTCTATATAACTTTATGCGAAACTAGTTTTTATTTGGTTTAGGAACACCTTGAAGCTTTCGAATATTTGACATACCAAAAAATAGCATTAGTTCTGTTTCACCATTATCAATATGAATATTTCTAATAACTGTGACCGTCTTATTTTCTTTATCCTTTAAGGTAACTGGTATATCTGTATACCATCCTAATGAATTAGTAATATGCTTGGAATTGCCTTTTATAGCAAAATTAGATAGTTTATCAGCCTTCCATCCAAGCGTCTTGATTGCTAGGTCATTTATACCACCTAACTCACTGCCGGTATCTAAAAAAGATTCAGAAATAGTTAAGTCATTTATATTAGCATTCAGATATTATAAAGATGACAACCACTCATCTGATTCTTTCGATTCCTCCTTCTGAGCCTTTTGAGACAAGCACATTTTTTGTATTGATGATGAGAGTTTAGACAATAGTTGATTGTACATTTCAGGTTAGCTAGATTCTAGAGGTAAGATTGCATTAGTATCATTGGCCAACTTATCATTTACCTGTTTTTTTTACTAGTGGGTCATATCCTGTCTATCTATTATTGTTCTCATCATAACCATCCCCATCATTTTTCTCACCATCTGAATCAGGAGAAACTATTGGTTTAAGAGGCATAAAATATGACTGAGTGAAATTAGATTGAGCTATTAGTCTTTTTGGACAACTTCCTTTGCTATAGCCTGTTTTCCCACAAATTCCATATTTTTGTATGTATGCTTTTTTCTGAAATAGATCAGCTAACTGATTTACATTATTCTGAGTTTCTTTAAGTTCTTCTTCAATCCTATCAAATCTAGCAGAATTATTGTTTTGCTGTAGACGAGATCTTGAAAAGATTTTACAGGATAATCTGAGTCTAAATCTTCCTTATTAAGTAGACCTACTTCTTTTAAGTATTCAGCTACATAATAATTCTTGAGACCTTTCTCTGTTTTCAATAAAGATGGTGGACCTCTTGGCTGTCTAACTGATTCAACAGATTGTGAAATAGATACTTGCACTTGTTGAGTTATTTGAGATTGTAATTCTGTAACTTTCTTTACTAATGCCTGGTTTTCAGTTTTTTGTTATGCTAATGTGTCTTGGAATATTTTTTGTATATCTGCCAAGGAAATTCCTTGTTGTTGAGAAGCAATATTAGAATTAATAGGAGGAGATGATATATAATTAAGATATGATAGTGATGGCCCTAGTAGCCCTTGACATAATTCAATATCTGCCAAACTATCAAGGATTTCATCAATAGGTCTATATTGACCGATTCTAAAGATTTCATCCCTAATATCTACTCTAACACCTGATATGAAATGTGTTTTCTTTTGTTTATCAGTATAACCTAAATGATCTCCATATTCTGAATCTTTATTCAGAAAGATAATGAACTTTCATGTGCTTCTTGTTTTAATGTTCCAATTTCTAACATCTTTATATATCTATTAGTAGATGGAAAATGTTTTTTAATCTGATATAGCCTTTGTCCAGACTGAATTCCTGCAAGAATAATTGGAACACCTCCTTTAGCATTTGACGCAACTAGTCCTATATTAGTAAGTCATCCTCCAGCTATTATCCAATCTTCAGCAACGTTTTAGGTTAGAATAATTTGTGCTCCTGTAAGATCTAATAGAACATTTGGAAAAGAAGCGACTGCTCCTGTTATAGTCCTTGCATTAGCCCCACGAATATGAGCTATAATAGCACCTAAACTAGAGTTATCTAATACATTCTGTAATTCCTAGTTTTTGTTATCAAACTCTTTACAGTACCATTCTCTCACTTTTCTCTTTATAAATCAGTCCAATATACTGCGGGTTCTTGCTTCATCATTTATACCTGCTAAATTAATATATGCTATAAAGTTATCTACATAATCTTCATGATTTGTTCAAAGCTATGTAATTCAGGTAACTGAAAGCCTGCTGGTAATGCCATGTTTATTTAATTAGGTGGATTATTCTGTAATACAAAAATTTGTCCTTACAAATTTAAAATATTCTGCCAAGCATCACAGGTCTTATTTTTCTATTTCTCATATTGCTTATAGAGCCTATCCTGATTATACTCTAATAAATCTATATCCCTCTACTTCGCTGTAGGTGGTGAGCATTTTGCTGATATAGTAGTTGTAAGGCAAACTTTTCCTATAATAATACACCAATACGGGTTCGCTTTCTTGTTATATTACCTAACATTTTATTTACTTGACTTTGGGCATTAGCCTGTAACTGGTGAAGATCACCAACAACTCTATCTGACACTCCTTCAGCAAGATCTTTTCACATAATAGCAAAATCTCGCTCAGCTTCTAATCATAACGCTTTTTTTGCTTACGAACTAAATCCTAATGCAAATTATTCTCTTTTCAGCATATCTGTCTTATTACCCTTTTTATTTGATCTGCTAAGATTTCTCTACCTGTTATTAGATTATCCATATAACTATCTATAGCATTTGCTAGCTCTGTGATTGTGGCCATTTCTAAGTTAATATTAGGATTATACAAGTTTGGAGAATTCCCTCATTTAGGCGAATTTTTTCATGATAAAATACTTCTGATCTAGCATCGCAATTTTTCAACTTATTTCTCAGATTCTACTAACTGCTCTTCTAAACTAAAAATATATTTTCCCTTATTTTGCACATCTTTCCTAGCTTGATATAGCTGATTTTTTAGGGTAGAGATTTCAGATTTTAACTTTACTATCTTCTCTTCTGAAGCATTTTCAAGGCACTCTATTTTACTATTGAGATTTTGTATTTTTTGCTTACATCGGGCATAATTCTGTTTCAGTTGATTAATTTATCTCTCATTCTGGCGATTAGTATCAACTTCTGTCTATAATTCACTACGAAGATGAAAGTTTTTCTCCTTCAGCTCAGCTTTATATTCTTCACATGTTCTTCTCTGCCTTGAATAAGGCCTGCAAAATGACATTCTTTTTTTGTGATTATAAAAGAGAATGGGAGAACCTTTGATTTGTATAGATCCTCAAAAAGTGCGTGATTTTGATCAGGATTTTATTTTGCAGAAGTACAAGGAAAAAAGTATCCCAACTAATGAGAAGAATCTGACTTCATAGATGTCAGCCTCCTGCAGTTGCATTTTCAGAACCTCATTTTCACATTGCAATTTCTTATTTGCACTAATCTGCTCTCTATATTTCCTTTTTATGTCTTGCATGAATTTTTCGAAAGTTCTTTTATTATAATCAAGCAGGTACTGGCGAAACACTTTAAGTTCATTTATAACCTAGCGATTATTCTCTTCTTCATGATCACAAGTAGTATTATTAGTTTGGTTCCATTATCTGTAACAGCCGATGATGCTGGAAATACATTACATTCTGGCCAGCTTCAAGGGCGCAATAATTTTGTCTGAGCCATATTTTTTGCGTTTCCTATTTAACAAATTCTCATAAACTTCTAATTTATGCCTTAGATATGACTCAATTCAACCAGACTTCCCAGAAATCATTTCTAATGAAACAGGATTTTTAGAGTGATTTAAAAGACCTTGATATGTTCTATTAACCAAGCTATCTAGAAGTCTATCAGTAATATATTTATAGTCAGAATGAAATATTATAATAGATATAATTTTACGCAAAAAAAAGTTTGTATGCAAAATTCATCTATAGACTATAGTTTTACATGCCTATATCACGAGTTATGTCACATCTGGTAAGGGATTGATTAGGCACTGTTCGCATGATCAATGATCACTAGAAGATCTTAATAGTTTTTATTACATGATACAGATAGCAAATTTTTATTAATTCGTTTTGTATTTGCTTATCTTCCAATTTCGCAATTCTGACCTTAAACTTAACATTCTCAGCCCTAATTTTATCATTCTCAGCCTCAAGTTTGACAATGTATTTTTTCAATAAATCAGCCAATCTGGAATCATCTATTTCAGATTGCATGCTTACGTAATATAGTAATATGTATGCTTTATATTCAAAAGAAACAAATCACGTATTTTCTGAGACCATACAGTCCTGCAAATTTACTAAAAAAATATTATCTGATGCGTTTTAAATTAGAATGGACACGTGATCTCAGAAAATAATTGGCCACCAGGGCACTTTATTGATATAGGAAAAGTAAAATACAAATTTATTATATATACATGACTTATTCAGAATTTACATTCGAACTGTTTTTATTTCTCTTGGACCTAACTGAAGGTGCGTTAAGTAGTAAAGACATATTCATTATTAGAATATTCCGTAAAATTAGTAAAGTCCTTACAAAATTTGTTACGATAGATGGATCTGATTGTTGTACAGAAATTTTTACTTCGTAAAGATGATAATAATGATGTACATTTTCCATATCTCTAATAAGGACA